ATATAGAATATATATATATATATATCTGAGAATTTAAAGGAAACGATGTCACGAAAAGACGAGACGCGAAGAAGTAGCAGGTGGTTCCGATATCAGCCTGGAGCTATGGGTTACGTATTTCACATGCATAGAAGTCTCTTGAAAGGTTCTATCGAGTAAGGAGCCAAGCGGAAAATAAAAATAAGATTACCCTCGAGGATAGTAGTAAAAAAAAAAAAAAAATTTCTAAAATATAGCTAAAGCCCCTCGATCGTGTACTGTCGAAGAGTTATATACTATTTTCCCACCTATCATTTATTCGATATAAGATATTCACAAATAGAAAAACATATTAGATGATATACTAACGCGATCACGTTAGCTCGATTTATACTAAAAAAACAAAATTATAAACTTGACGAATAACAATGAAATAGAAGAAGAAGAACAAGAAGAATTAACGATCGTTACTAAAAATAATAAATACAAAAATACAAAAACAAGACTCATCAATTATTTTCAATGGTAAAATGAAAGATTTCATAGAAGACATTAATCATAGTTTTCGAACGTTTCTATCAAAACTATCTTCATACGCATTCTCCATTCCAACGAATGTTTATACACCCGTATAGAAAATTTTGTTTTCGGTAGAACAATTCAAATTCTCTCTTCCGTCATTAGTCGAACATCTGCTTTTGTCGGATACGAATCGATGAACATCGAAAATCGTGAGAATTCGAGTATCAATTACTAACGATAAATCGATAATAGATCGACGATCTATCTACGAATAGGAAAAAGATTTATGTTGGAAAATATGAGGTGGTCTCTGTGGGATTTAAACACAATGATACTAAAAAGGAAGATGGAAAGGAGGAACGAGAGCTGAAACCGCGACTTTCCACAGTATTCACCGGTTCGTCGAAACGATGCTAGTTGGATAGGTACTTGTTGCCTCTCTTCTTTTTCTTTCTCTCTCTCTCTCTCTCTTCTTTACCATGTCGTCGTCTCTACTTCTCTTTTCCTTGCAATTTCACCCCACCAGTTCGTTTCAGTTCCCTCATTCGTCTCTTTTTCTCTTTCTCTCTCTCTCTCTCTGTCTCTGTCTCTGTCTGTTGAACCACCCCTTTTTCACTCCCTCTTCATCCGTCCGTATGATCATGCCATTCCACAGCGATGATCCTCTGCTCGGCGGACTTATATAGCCGCTCCCTTTTGCCACCCTCTTGGCACACATACACCCCAGGAAGATTGATGTTCCATCTATCCACAGGTTACCACTACCAGTAACTCTCATTATAACGATGATGTACCTCTTCGGTGTTAGTTGAAAGGAGCTACGTTACGATTGCTTCTCTCCTAGCCTGAATATTTCCTCGACTATGACAGCAGAAAAGATTAAGTTTTAATACCGGTACGTTTAAAGTCCAACCATTGAAATTTCATGGAAATAAATCGCGGTAGTAAGAGATTCTGTTACATTTTCGTGTCTCGTCGATAAACCCTGATTCATATAGGTATGTATGCATGTATGTATATACATCATATTCGTATCACGTACTCGATAAATCGATACATCCGCTCTAGACCAATTAAATTTATCCGTGGTACAAACGGGGAGCGTGCTAAGCAAGTAATCGTATAACTAATACATCGATGAATAATTCACTAATGCAAGAGATATAACAATTTTCTGAATTAACTTATACAAATATGTACATTTGTATATCTTTATTTGTATGATACTTAAACTTGAAACGTATATATATATTTTGATATATAATCCACGTTGTACAAGTGGACCTTATATACACACTCTTTCTTTCCAAGCAAAATTCATGAAAGCTTACTACGCGTAGTCGTATTGTACAAGCCGTACCTCCTTCTTTACTCGAGATGTATTTTTGCATACTCACCACTCGGCGCGTTACTTCAACGTTCACCTCTCCTTGTCTTTCCCTTTTCCTATTTTCTACTCTTTCAAACAACTTACTCGTTGAATTCTAATCTCTTTACATCTCACTGGTATTCAACTGAAACTGAGTACATTCCTGAAATTCGTTCGTTTGAAGAGTTGGACTCTTGTTATAACTTCTTTCATTTTCTCTTATCTTTTATATTATTCGTATAATATAAAAAAAAAATGTTTGGAGAGAATTTTTTTTTTTAATATTATATTATAAAAATATCATCGTTGATATTAACCGTACTTTGTAGAAATGATTCAAGGTCCCGTATCAGGATAATACGATCTTCAATAGTTCTTTTAATAATTACATGCTCCTCCAGATTTTTATATCACAAAAATAATTCAATTTGTTTAAAAACACGTTTACGAATCGATTTATCTTATCCCTTCCGAAAATCATTCGAGATTGAATTGCCAACACAAACAAAATTGAATATCTCGACAAGCGAGTATTACAACTCATTGAACAAAACGTTTTTCCTATCTATCATCTCACAGGGAAGAAGGGTTTAAAATCATGAAGGCCTATCGAAGTGCACCCTCTTTTTTTTCAGCTTCTCATCATCCCCTTTAAAGCTTTGGCTTTTTCCATGAGTTTTCGTTTTGCGATTCACTCAGACGTGCGACCATTTGAACTTTCTCGTTCGAAAGCAAAACTAATCTACGGTTCATATATCTCACGATGTACCAAATAGCAATTCGAAAAATGGATATATTCATTTCTCTTAATCATTGAATGAATATCCTCACCACCATCTTCCAACGTCAAACTCGAACTTTAATTCTTGATAACGTCATTTAAAATGAAAGAAAATATTATAAGAAAAATCTTATGCTATGGTTCCCTCCTCATAAATGAGAAAGATAATTAAAGATGTTCCTTATCGAGACAATTATAGATGCTAAATTCAGCTCTTTTTCTTTTTTTCTTTCTCCCTATCTGTTTATCTCTCTTTCTCACACTCTTTGGGACCCTTTCATGTTAAAGATGGCAAAGAAGAACCCCTATCAATAACGTGGAACGAATAATAGCAAATTATGTTATGGTACAATTCCTTTAAAAAAAATTATTTCATTATAAGAAAAATATAGATTATCTCGTTTCTTTAATTATCTCTCAATAATTGTTTTTGAAGTAAAAATTTCTTTAAAATTGATGTGATTTGAAATTATTATAATATTATTTTTATTATTTAAAAAAAAAAATATTACGCCTTTATGAATGCAACCCTCCAGACACACTTTGAAAATGCTGCTTGCGAGCGCCATCTACTGGGACGGAATTTTTTTTCTGCCCAAAAGATAGGCAACCCTTAGTACAAACGTGTATGAAAAGTTTGGGCTGAAAAAAAATTCCGTCTCAAGAGATGGCGCTCGCAAACAACATTTTCAAACTGTGTCTAAAGGGTTGCATACCTACAGGCGCACATTTTTATAATTATTAAATAAATAATTACAAAAAAAAATAGTAAAAATAATATTCTAATATTATTATATAATAAATTATTCTACTGCTGATAATATTAGATACACACATACATCGTTTTTAAGGTTATTTTCAACTAAAAAATCAAATGAATAAAAAAGACAAGACAAAGACAAAATCGTTTTGTCTTTTTAGTCTTTTTCAACTATTTTTATACGGATTCCAGGGGTTTAGTCTCTAGAGTCTAGAAGATTGAAACAATGGATGATACTGCTTCCCAGCTTTTTATACGCTCTGCTTCCTTATCTGCGCCAGTAGCTCGCTATGATAATAGCTCTCTCTTCCATTATTGTAATAGCGTTACAATGACGTTCACTGATACCCAAAAAAAAAGCATCGGTATGATGAAAGTGAAAGACAAATTAAGTTCAAATCACCGAATACCAAGGTCTAACATAACTCGATTGATATACGTTAAAATAATTGATACAGGTGATTGATTAGCTAAAAAATAATGAAATAAGTAATAACAAAAAGAAACAAAAAAAAACTTGTATTACCTGGTAATAAATGATTCAATGGTGACAAAAAGAAAAAAAAGGGGAAAATAAAAGGTTGAAAAGAAGAAGGTCCGAGCGAAATCTTTTGAACTCCCTCGGAATCGGGATCGTCGACTCATATCTTCGCTGACAAAAAGAATTCACCCTCTTTAAGGCGCGCGTCGTCGTCGTCGTCGTAGTCGTCGTCGTCGTCGTCGTCGTCGTTTCTTGCCTGGCAGCGACGGAACCGGTATGTGACGGGAGGGATAGATGTGGTTCCATTCATGCTTATTTCAAGCTCATTGTGTGCCCAGTGTATTCAGCCTTTGACTCGCCTCTCGTGTTGCCACTGCAACGACGCTTCATAGAGCACAAGAGAAGATGGTAGAAGAGAAAGAGGAGGAGAAGGAGAAGGAGAGGGAAGGGTATAGAAGAAGATGGGGGTGGTGTTCGTGTCGGGCTAGGAGTCAGGAAATACCGGTGTCACATTTTCTTCAATGGTAGTAAGCATCGAAGATTATAAAAAAGCAAGAAAGAAATAAAATTATGTGATACTACTTTTTTGAAGTGAAAACTTCTTTAGAATGGGAGTGATCTGAAAAGTAAATAAACGGAAACGGAGCTATGTAACGAAGCTATGAAACGGCTGCCATACTAAATAATGAGAGAAAAAGAGACAAACATAGGATTTAGACTGCGAGGGAATGAGACGGAATATAGCTATACAGTTTTTCCTATTCTCGGTCTCCTCTTTATGCTATGCTTCGTAGTTATCGCTCCTGGTTGTATATGTGTGTGTTTGTGTGCGACTGCATACTACAAAGCGTAAACACATATATTCGTTCGATACTCGAAATGTTTGTAGGTAGAAGCGATAGAAGGGTAAAAGAATAAACAGAGATAAGCACGTAGGTATGCGACAAAAGTATAAGGTCCAAACGAACCGACGGTCGACATAAACAAAGAAGGTGCGTGGTAAGAAGAGAAGATCATCGACAAAATTTTGATTATATTAACTTATAAGATTGATTATTTGTATTTATTATTAATTATCTTGTTTTTCGTTATTTCTTTATTTTTGCAGGAAACTGAAAAGACAACGAGAACGTCTATGTCGATACGTGTACAATCAGATTTTGACAGCGGAATGTACCCAATTGAATGGAACTTGGCCTGATCCTGACGATCCACGTTGGAGTAGTGGTGAATACGGGGAACTTTTGCCCGAATGGTTTCCAACAAATGCAACCAATACCACGATACCAGGAAACGTAACAACCCCATCGTCACTGGGTAATATAATTGAGATTAAACAGTTCGTTGAATCATATATTTCTTTCCAATTAATTTTCCACGAAAATCTCATCACTTTACTTTGATTTAATATATTTGTATGACGCGTTCAATGTTCACGTTTTATTAAAAATTTAATAAAAGGATATATGATTTTTCTATCAAACAGATATAGCACCTGTATTACCACCCTTCGAGCTCTGGCAAACGGTCCTGATAGCTATATGTTTAGCAATATGTATATTACTAACAGTGGGTGGTAATATTCTTGTATTATTGGCATTTATCGTCGACAGAGCCATCAGACAGCCTAGCAACTATTTCATCGCGTCATTAGCTGCTACTGACATGCTCATCGGTAAGATTATCATTTGTAAAATTGATGATAATATTTCGTGACTTTTCTAAGAATTTTATAAACACGAATGAAAATGGAAATAATGCGATGCATGCTGTCAGTTATTATTTCAGTTTTATTTTTCGTTTAATATCCGTACTTCCGTTGATATGACAGATATGTTATAGTAGTAGTAGTATTAGTAGTAGTTGTTGTAAATGATGTAGGTCGGATGTTATAGATGGTCCGAAGAACGATTGTTTCATCATACACGAGATATACTAGAACTGATCGATCCTACTATATCTTCGTTGTTACACAGGTACAGTCTCTATGCCATTCTATACGGTATATGTTCTAATGGGCTATTGGAACCTTGGACCTCTACTCTGCGACCTATGGCTATCCGTAGACTACACCGTCTGCCTTGTGTCACAGTACACGGTCCTTTTGATTACGATCGATCGCTTTTGCTCGGTGAAAATTGCTGCGCAATACCGCAGTTGGCGAACAAAGAATCGCGTCATCTGGATGGTTACTATTACTTGGATAATACCAGCACTTCTATTTTTCATCAGTATATTTGGTTGGGAACACTTCATCGGTTACAGGGATCTTAATCCGGGACAGTGTGCTGTGCAATTTCTCAAAGATCCAGTGTTCAATACTGCACTTATCATTGGTTATTATTGGACAACGTTAATCGTTCTTTTCATTCTATACGGAGGAATATATAAAACTGCGTATGACATGCAAAAGAAAAGTGAAATGAAACAGAGAAAAATGCAATCGATGGTGGCATTGAGCGCAGGTGCAATGTCTGGAATGGCTGGTCGTGCGGCCGGTATAGGTATGTCAAAAACTCAAAGTACCTTGTTGAGTCAAGATAAGCCAAGAGTGAGCTCGTCGGGGGGTCAAGAAGATAATACAGCTGGTGCCGATAGCGGACAAAAGTCATCTAAAGTTTCGGGATCCGGTGGAACGGAGGATGCTGCGGACAAGGTTACCTGTGCAAGTACGATGCCTACGGAAACTGAGAAATCTGAACGATCTAGTAGTCCGGCCTTCGATTCCGACGAAGAAAGTACCGTCGGACCAACTCAACAACTGAGTAATGTTAAGAAACGTACGTCTTTAGCTGGTTTGGTCGTTCAATCTGGCGCGCTTCAAGTATTTGCCACAAATGGTCGATTGAACGGCATAGTACCTGTTAAGATTGAAACAAACGTACCACCAAACACGAAAAAAATCTTACCGGCGACTACTAGTCCTATATGCGAATCTAGCACGATGACACAGAAAGGCCAAACACTGCCGAAGATACAGGAGCTTAGTCTTCTGGATACCGATAATCCAATCGAGCCAGACAAATCTAGTAGTCAAACATTAACCCCAGAACAATCATTAAAATCTATCGACGTTTGTAGTAACAAACATACGACAACGTCGAACGAGGATGCAACGCCACCAGTTCAAAGCCAACAAATTTCGTTGAATAGTTCTCAACAAAATATCATACCACCACCAACGCAATTTCAAAGTAGCCCACCTATAACGGAAAGTCCTTCTACCTCGTCGTCAGGTGAAAGACCAAAATCCTTGGTAGTTTCTAGTCATGGTCAAGGTACTTACGATATTTTAACTGGCCTCGATGGTGCCGATTTGAGGTACATGGACGAAAGCTCGGTCATTCTTCCGAGCCCTTCATACGAAAGTCCACCATCATCTTTCTCGTGTAGTTTAGCCAATCCTCTTTCTACCGCACCATCGTCGCCTATTCTCTGTAATGCAGTTTCTACGGCAACTACGACTAGTTTGTTGCAAGCTGCACTCCTACGAGCTACTCAACAAGCTGGTTCCAATCAGATAAATCTATCGAACAAACAAACTCAACAGCAATTACCAGCAATGTCGAATGCCTCAAGTCAAACACATCCACCTCGTGTATTTATCACTCAACAGACTAACGCAGCATCTCAAACATCTCCTACGGTTAGCAAAGTGCATACTGAGGTAACCGTCAAAGCAGAAAATACTAAACGTCAACCAGTTACAACTGTGATTAATACCGCAAAAACTATTGTTGAATCATCTAACAGTACGACCGAGAGATTTTCTGATCAAGCTACAGAAAGATTATCCGATCAAGCGACCAAGATCAGCAATAATCCACCACAAAATTCATCATCGAGTAGTATGGTACCAACGATTTCTGGAACAGACGGACAAGAGACGAAAAAACAATCGAAAAAGAGTAAAACCGAAAATGGGGAAGAAGGTGGTTCCAGAAGAGATTTTGTTAAAACCATCGGTAAACGATTAAAGGCAAAAACTCAGAGAAATCCGACAATGGCACGGCAAAAGTCAAGAACGGAAAACAGAGCACGCAAAGCTTTCAGAACTATTTCTTTTATTCTTGGAGCTTTTGTTGCCTGTTGGACGCCCTATCACATTTTGGCTTTAGTCGAAGGCTTTTGTACAAATCCTCCGTGCACGAATGAACATCTCTTCATGTTCTCCTATTTTCTGTGCTACGCAAACAGCCCTATGAATCCTTTCTGCTATGCTTTGGCTAATCAACAATTTAAGAAAACCTTTACGAGAATACTTAAAGGTGATCTGCACATGACGTAAATAATTCATCGCTCGTCTCATATATAAAGTATAATATTATAATAGTATGTTGTACCTATTTTTGCTTGAGAATATGGTATAAGCTATAGAAAATGAAAATGAAAAAATAAAATAAAAACTTGACTTTAAGGCCTTCCATAAAGCGTACCGAAATATTCCCATTTATCGTAATGGCGATTAAAGCGGACAATAATTTAATCAAACGGCGGACTCTCGTGGAAAACAAAAATTAAATGAATGTAAACGAGCTTCTTGTATATAGATAATTAAAAAAAAAAAGAAATAAAAAAGAAAAAAAAGGAATTTTTTCGTTGACATCTATATTCGGGTGTACATATTGTATATGTGTGAATATTTGTTAAAAAAAAAAAAAAAAAAAAAAAAAAAAAAGGAAAAAATAATAATTAATTAAGCCTTTGATGTATACTGTCAGTGTAAGCTCGAAAACATCGACTTTTGCGATGAAAGAAACACACGTGCTTTGATAGCACAACTGAAAGGAACGTAAGGTATACATAATTATAGTTATTTCTTAATTAAAACTGTACAGAAGTGAACGTCGATATGTTGCTACGATGTTTCCTTGGTCATGCGATTAAATATTCTTAGATGAGAAAGTAATTTAACCCTTTCGCTACGGGCGTATTTTACGCGGTGCTACTTCTACTGTACGTGCTGTTAATAAGTGCAGCATCGAAATTGCACTTTGCACTATTTTTAAGTAATTTTCTTATTGATATTAAGGATTTTTAATTAAAATAAACAAAACACTCAAAATTACACGTCCACAGTGGGATATTTGACGTGTTATAACTGCATATGTTCGTCATATGTAAAATACGCGGTATTTTATGAAGGGTCACTATAGTGGCCCGTAGTATCTCAGTAGCATCTTATGGAGGGCCATTTTAGTGGCCAGTAGTATCTCAGTAGCATCTTATGGAGGGCCACTTTAGTGGTTCGTAGTAGTGAAAGGGTTAAACGGAAGATCCATACACACATACACATACACATCATTCTTCGAGAGACATGTTCACATTATACATTATAAAATTCATTTTTTTTTAACACGACATGTTCACATATGAAAATATAAGATCGATATTACTAATTACAAATGGTTAGAGAAGCCTTGAAAAATGCTACTAACGTTTAGTGCGATAGATTATATTTAATGAGTCTTTTAAAACGTATGTTTAATAAGCTTGATTAAGAAAATACACATACACACACATATATATATATATATAAAATTATGTATAAAATGGGCATTTCGCGTTCGCCACATGAAAGACAAAAAGTGAAATAATGCTTGAAATAATTAATATAGAATAATATATTAACCCTAGTGATATTCCCTATGCGTGCTAGTTATCTCGTACAAATCTTGACCGATGATGATCGCACTAGGAGTCTCCAAATTTTAAGACGAAAAAGGTCGTTTAACATGGTGCGCTCATTTACTACACGTGGCAGAAGTGTAAAAAAAAAAGGCTGTTCAAAAACTTTCGACGAGAAGCAATTCCTCTTGTTTATTTTCTTGTTCTTTTTACGAGCAACGAATTGGGTCAAAGCAGCTGCTCGTTTCGAGAAAGTAACCGGGTGTTCGAGGATTTCATCGTGGAGCCATATTGGATCCAGATAAACACTGCCCTGGGGTGGCCTATCGATGCTTAGGCCTTTTTCTCTGACCTTCCTCGAATTTTTTTACATTTCAATCGAGACGAGCAAGAAAAATCGTTGGGATTTGTCCAATCTCGTTACACAACTATGTATTTTAAAATAAATCTTCTCTTGATTTCGTTAGAACGAAAATAAGAATGTCGAAGTTTACTGTATAAGAAAATAAAAAAAAAAAAAATAAAAAATTAGAAAATTAATTTGATCATTAATAGAAGAATTTGTGTTAACGTCAATTGATTGTATTTCATTTTCTTTCAAAAAAATTCTAATATTATTTATCAAAAGTGATCTATCCTTCCAAAAAAAGATATAAGCCAAGATAAACTACGTTGTTATACGTGTAACCGCTTGTATAGATAATTTCTGTAAAAATCAAATGATATACTTCACGATAAGGTGTAGGTATTTCCGTATAGCTTATTTGCCGCTACGCATGATCGAAATTGAACGTAACCCGCTGAACACGGGGATATATGGAATGCCCGGTAAGCACAATAAGCGCTAAGTAAGCGCAAAATAAGCTTAAAGTAAGCGCAGATCCAATGGATTCGTAGATGCATGGATAAATGGGTGAAATATTTATGACTATATGCATGAGTGTATGTGTATGTATGATTACGAAAGAGTGAGTGTTTGTCCTGTGTGATGTATAAATGTGTACATGGAAAAATTCACACTTTATAATATTGTGATTTTCTCGTCAATATTATTAATTATTATTATTATTTAATACATGATGTATCTAAGAAACAAACAAAAAACAAAAAAAAAACCAAACTAATTATTATTATTAAGTTGTTATATTTTTACCGAATGATAAATGCGCTAATGAAGAGAAATTTTTGGCACTTTTTTTGGATAACTTCCAAAATTCACTGCCAATGTTATTAGTCATTTTCTTCTTTTTGCGAATGAAAAAAAAAAATGCTCGAAAGAATTTTGAATAAATACATTTTTTTTTTTTTTCGATGGACGTCATCACACATACAAAGCCAAAAAAGAAGAAATAAAACATTATATAAAATATCGTAATTTAAAAATCGCTGTATCGATAATACCTCAACAAGAAAATCGCTTCCTCATCTTCCTTTGTATCATTATATTATACGGCTATACGATAATTTTAATTCTACGAGTAATATCGAATAAAATAATCGCTTATTGTACAAAGATTATTATTACGCAGATAATATAGCGTCTCTTTGACGTTATGTGATGTAATTAGTATATGTATAGGAGAGAAAATTGTATTATGTACAACGTAGTATTATTATCGATATTACGGCGCAATATTTAGGAAAATAAAATATCTATATATAAATATATAGGGAATAATATTATAATAGTATTGTTTTTCAAATCGTCCTAAAAAAAAGAACGATTATACACGAAATAATAAAAACCACCTAAAAAAGCCTATGTATAATAATTCAATTTCGACGATTCGAAAAACCCTAGTCTTCGTACATTGTGCTGCTATTTCATTACGATGATGCTTTTTTTATATAAGTATATATATATATATAAAGCAAATATAAATTAGGTACCTATTGTAAATGAGCAAATAATAACAATAAAAAAAAAAAGGAAAAAAATACACACAAAAAAACATATGAAGATGCGCTATTAACTGTGAGAAAAAAAAAAGAATAAATAAAATGTGACACGTATACTCGATATTATAAATTATTATGACTGGTATATCTTTAAAAACAAAAACAAAAAAAAAACAAAAAAAAACAAAAAAAATTCAACACATCATTTTTATTGTTCATTAAAAAAAAAAAAAATGAAAATCCATTGATCGTTCATACAATTCTAATTCATCCCTAAACAAATGTTCTCTCTACCTCAAGACAAGATACGTAATAAGAAAGACAATGATCTTTAAAGCAATTCTAATCGCATATCAAAGAACGATTAAATATATAGTATATATACATATATATATGTTTCAATTCTTATGGGGAAAAATTTGTTATTTTCTTCTAAATGATTTATTATTGAATATCTTTTTTTTTTTAATATAGTGGATGAAGAGAGAGAGAGATAGAGTTAATAACAAAATCGAAAGCAAGAACGTTAATTGTTCCACAGAGCGCATATCTAAGTGATGATAAACATCGTTAATTCATTTTCCAATTTGGCCTAACGATACGGAAACTCGTTTCCTACTTCGCTAATGAACTAAAGTATAACTTAATTAATGAATTAGCTTGCTCGAAAGATACCTTTTATAATAAATTCGAGAAAACGAAATTTTACAGTATATAAAGTATATAGAAAATTCAATTAACATTATTATATTTTAGAATTGAATGAATGATCGATAAGAGCAATCGATATGCTGTTAAAAGTTTAGAAATTGTTTTTGCGAACTATACGAACATATGAGAAAAAAGAACAACAACAAATAAAATTAATTGGCTTGTTAAAGAATGAAAGATTGAGAGGGAATAATGAAGATACTAAATATATATATATATATGAAATAAAAAATTATCATTACAACAATTCTAAAGTATCATGGTTATTATTATTACGTGGGATCAACAAAAGAAAACACATACTAATTATCATTAAAATTATAGACAATATCATTTGTGCGTGCTCACGCTTGACAATCTTTAATACACTGACCCTTAAATCTTATCTTAATTAATATATAAATTACGTGTCACGTTGTTTGTCCGCAATGGACTCCTAAACTACTGAACCGATTTTTAATAAAATTTTGCACACTGTGTGAAATTTCATTCAACTTGAAATATAGAATAGTTTATATCTCAATTTATAATAGCAATATTATTTGTTTATTAACAAAGAGCCATGATTATCGACTGTTAATTCGATAAGATTCTAACAGATGGCGATATAAGGTAATTCGTGTGTTTAATATAATCGACATGTTTTTTTTACAATACTGCACTAATTCGTATTTTTATGTTAATCTCGTGATTTATTTCTGTAATCATTTAAAATACAATTCAATCGTCAATACACGTATAGAGCTACGCACATTTATAAAATCATTTTGCAAGGGTCATGTGTATAAAAAAAAATAAAATAAAAAATACAGAACATTTGTGTCTATGGCAAACGTAATGTCCTCCGATAAATTATTAAAAAAAAATATATATATATATATATAAAAATTAGAAAAAAATGTATATGTAATAACGACAAAATATCGTATAAATTATAAGATCTGTTGCTTGAATTGTGAAGAAAAAGAAAAAAAATGAACAGAAAAAGAAAGAAAATAATATTTAGTACCCGATACGACGCAATTATCAATGAGAAGCCGAGAAAAATAATCAATAAAAAAAAAAAAAAACCCTATTGTCAGAGAAAACTATATCGTTTGTTTAAAATATATGCACGATAATTACATGCGACGTGAAAGTACAATAAAAAGACAAAAAAAAAAACAACTTTGCACACTTAAGGAAAAAAAAAAAAATAAATAATCGAACGATCGTGTTCTGATCGTGTAAAAGAAAGAAAAATATACAAAAATGTTAAACAATATTAACAAATAATATTATTCGTCGATTAAATAAAAAAAAAAGAAAAAAAAAGAAAAATGTGTCTACAAAATATCGACATACGTTTTAGCTTTAAGAGCGCACAAGAAAATAAAAAAAAAAAAAGTAAAATAAAATAAAATAATATAAAATAAAAAATAATTTGTTCCCGCCGTTGGTGATCCTTCTTTGCTATAACTGTCCGCAAAAACGTGTCTACATTTGGATGTCCTTCGAGGAATATCCTCGCCACCAGCCAATGTTTATCCAATGAAAAAACAAAGAAAGAAAGAAAAATAAAAAAAAATAAAAAGATTACTTGTCTTACACGATTACGAATGCTGCTGCTGCTGCTGCTTCTTCTTCATTTTACGTAGGCAAATCTAAGAAAAAATTTATGTGAATATATTAAAAAAAAAAAAAAAAAAAAAGAAGAAGGAAAAGTTCGAAAAATTGCATACTATCATGGCATAGATAATATTTAATTAATAAAAGTAGACAGAGAGACAATTTTTTTTTTTATTTCTAACTTGATCAACAATTATATGCAAGATTAGAATTAATTGATATGTTTAGACATTGGAAGTATGTAAGCACAAAGATGCGTATAAAATAAAATAAAATAAAATAATAATGTGATATACGATTAAAACAAATATTTTTATTCCATTACTGCCTCTCCTACTAATATTTTTCTGAATAAAAAAAAAAAAAGGATCTTACTGTATATCTTCCTGAAAATATATAACTGTTAAATCGATTAAATAGACTTCCTGTAACATCGGTAATACAGTGTTAAATAATGTATTATTAATAATACATAACAAATTATATTATTAATCAAAATATATTATTAATATTACGAATATATTGTTAAAATGATAAATTTGATAATTAAATAAATGAAGATATGTATTAGCTTTGCGAAGTGTCGGTAACAACGGTATCTATACGACTAATCATAGATACGAGTGATCATAACATTATATACTTAATTATGTATATTAGAAAGTTGTGTTGAAGGACTTAAACAATGAATAATTTTGTTGTCTTCTTTATTATTTATTTATATTAAAGTTAAAATCTTAGTAAACACTTTTTATCGAAAAATCATGCACGTGACTCACATTACCGACTAAAATACAGAATATATTTTTACAATAACACAAAATATTCGTTTAAATAATTATTATGTAATATAATGTTTAATACTTTGTTAATAATTATGAAAATGAATTTTATATTATTATTTGTTGGTATGACTAATAAATGTTCTCGTCGTCAGATGGCAGTTGTATTTTTACGTGACAAGTGCTGCCACTTGGAAATATTCGTAAGTTATATGTAAAACAACGTTGTTGTTTCTTAGTCGTTTTACCCATGTTTGGGTATTCTAAAAAAAGTACGTCCGGTGTTACAGAACAGTTTTTTGAGGTACGTCAGTGTGATCTTTAATTTAACATTTAAACATGTCTGGAGTAGTTATGTCCGAAGGCTCTCAAATGCAACAAATTGATATATCAAACTTAAATCTACAACAATTGATGCAGTTGAAACAACAAATGGATCATGAATTGAATATCTTTCAAGATTCATTGCACAAATTAAAACTCGCACAAAGTAGATTCTTAGAATCTGGATCGTGCTTAGAAAAAATTACGCCCAAAGTTGAAGGTCAGTTCTTCTTATAATTTTTCTCTAATTTTTAATAATTAAATAATTGTGTATTATTTCTTTTTCTAAGATGTACTTTTATAGGTTAGGAAACAAGATATCTTTTCATTCTGTTTAAACTTTTCTATCTTTTTTTTTAATATTATATATTAATTTTATTTATATTATTATTATATTATATTTTTATTATATATTAATTTTTTTTTAATATTTTAAATATTTTTTTAATAGCTTATGTATTTAGAAAATGATAGAAGAATTTCATTTAATAATAGAACAATTTTGCATTACGTTATCAAATTAATTTACCATAATCCTAAGCTGTGTACCATTGTACTGTGTTCATTCCTAGATCCTAGTTATCGTATAAAATAACCATAAACCTAAGCTACCTGTGTACCCTACACTATGTTCATTCCTAAATCCTAGTTTCGTAGACCTAGTGATTGTATGATCATAAGATTATCAAGCTTTTATTTAATAGGAAAAGAAATACTTGTTCCTCTTACTGGGTCAATGTATGTTACTGGAAAGTTGGCAAACACGAGTGACGTTTTAGTTGATATTGGAACTGGATACTACGTTCAAAAAAACATACACGATGCTAAAGAATATTTCAAAGGAAGAGTTGAATATGTTACCAAACAAATGGAAAAGATTCAGCAAGTTGGTTTAGAGAAAAGTAAAATTAGGGATGCTACAATGAGCATAATTGAAATGAAACTACAGAATCAAATGGAAAAAGAGATCACGGAACGTGCGTAGGTTGAACGACTAAAAATAGACAAGTTTTGTTTCTATGTTACAAATCTTTCTTTTTTCTTTTTTTTCAATTGATCAAATTTCTATTAATTTATGTTTCATTATGTACATTAAGGAGAACACAATGCATCAAACTTCTATAATATTAAATCTCCTTGTAAAACTTCATATCAATGTGTTTATCAATATAAATATATTCACATTCGCTTGAGATATCATAATTGCAATTTTTATTTCTATATAGATATATTATACTGATCTTGTATATTTTACATTATTCATAATTATTACGAAAAAATTTCTTTTCGAATTATTTTATACCATACCTTTTTGTGATCCATAGAAATAAATGGTAATAATAAAAATGGATTGTATTTTTTTTCTAAAATAAATAAAAATCATCTTCCTATTTTTATTTTTCGACAATATTTATGACAAATAAATCGTAAGGTATGCATATATACATACATGTATGGAAAATTTGGGTATTGCACAGGAAAGATAAAACGTCGATTTAACGAAGGTGAATCATTTATTCATTTTCCATTGAAATAAAACCTCGTTTATGAACGATAACAGTTTTTGCCCTACAAACGTGATAAGTCACATTGTATTGGGTACAACGGTACAGAGGAGGTATCAAAATCATTGTCGGAGGATAAAAAACATTATATAATGTGTTCGAAATAATTGTTCGATATTTTTTTTTTTTTTTTTAGCGCGACGTTATCGTCGATCCTAATATATTATAATACGACATATTTATTAGGATTACAAAGTCTTCTCATCAGGAAGATGAAATGACGCATGTCGCATACACGTAGATATTTTACTAAATTTTTTTTATCCTATTTACACGAATAACATACGTTCGATACTTATTTTAACGAAAAACTTTTCTCTCTCTCTCTCTCTCTCTTTTTTTATTTCTCCCTTCCATCACCCCCTGTTCTGTTCTCTGATTCGTTTTCTTTTTATTTATTTTTTTCTTTTATTTTATTTTATTTTTTATTTTTTTTTATCCGTTTTCCCTCATGTTAATATTCTCGAAATTTTACAAACAATTTTATTTTCTTCCTCTTCGACACAGTAGTATGCATAAATCCCAGTCGATGTTCACAGATGTTATCTCAGGTTGCACAGCAACAAGGTGGCCAGTACACTTGCGCAAAACCACTCCTCGACGCTTCTTGCTGCATTACCTAAAACAAAAAAGGATATCTAATGTAAATGCAAATAAATGTACAAGACAAAACTAACTGCAATCATGAATCGTTACTAACAACATTTTATTTCTAAGTAAGGTCACACACACACAACTTGGATTGATTTTTAATCGAATAGTAAGCAGTTACACACATGGAACATAATCGTGCGATCCATTAATGTTGTAACGATTAACATTACTGTACCGGTGTAAGAAGATTCACGTGTTCCCAATACGGAAGCCAATATCGGTCGTTCTTCCATTAAGATGGTTTCGGCTTTCTTCTGATAGAGATGAAAGACGTTTGCGTTACATACGACGTGCAGTTTGCCGTTGATAAATATATTCGAAGCAATCTCAAAGTCCAAGCCAGCAATAGCCATGTGATGATCATCAATGAACTTGTCCGTGATGTTTATTACGAAAGATGAGTTTACCTTTGAAAGAAATATCCACATACACATACACATAAATATAATATATCAATTAAAATATAAAGATATGTTCATAGGGATGGTAAGAAACTAATTGGTTGAAAATCCATAGGTATCCTACGACCTTTGTACTATTATCTTAAGATTTATATATACATATATATAATCGGTATGAAAGAAGAAAGATGGAAAATTATCCTTACTACTTCCTGCCACTCGTTTACGCGGTAACGCCTCCCTACGAGAAAGTCGTAAATGATTTGCAATGCATTCAGTTTATAACTATAATATTTATCGGATTCTTAGGGCGGCAGTAAAACGTTTCAGATTACTACTACCTAGCATGGAAGTGAGAGTTCCGGATTAAATGAAGTCTGTCAGAATGTATCGATACTCTGAGCATCATGTACGGACGGTTTATAATTTCCTGAATGGCTTTACCCAGCTTCACTTTATTACTTCATATATATAGCGGTTTTCTCTTCTTTTAATACACTCGAACGTCAAAATAAACTTTTTACTGATATTTTTTTTTTTTTTTTTCATCGAACTTCTATTTTATACGTAAACGCGAAATATTACGTGGTTTGGAAGATAATTTTTGTTTCGAGGTTAAATCTAAACCTTTCAAGTGGTCATAAATAATTGAATTTGATAAATTTAAGCTCTCATTGATCTCATGTGTTAGTATTTGTCGATTTGGCATCAACTAATGCCATTATTGCGTCAGCAAAAAACGAAACGACACTTTTCGATCCACCTAATATTTTATTGCAATTTTTAGTCTACGTGCAATTTGATATCTTTCAACGTTTGTTTGGTTTTTTTTTTTTTCTAGCAACAATTATCGTTGTTTCAAACAAATTGATGGATTGAATTTATTTAATTATCATCAAAGGTATAAAAATGTAGCTTTGATATTTGATTTTCGCGCTGGCATATATATTTTTCGATATGGAAAAATCGAAGAAGCGTAGAAAAAAGAAAAAAAAGGAATCCAGTAGAAATAGGATTTTCACGATGGCTTTTTCTATCGTAAACTTTTTTCTATTTTTTTTTTCTTCTTCTTCTTTTTTTCATTCCCTTGAATACGTACGATATTCTACTGACATCGCCTTTATACGGATAGGGCATACTTCACATAGAAACGCACTTTATACGAGACTTTGGAAACATTCGATTCGACGTAAAATTCACGAGCGACTATAAAACTTCCATTTTAGAAATGCAACCCTCGTGGAAAGAAGATACTCACGCGTATACGGGGAAAAAAAGTCTTATAATATCGTTTTTTTTTTTTTTTTTTTTTTTTAATGTGATCGTAATAAAGCGATTTTTCTTTCTTGTTTTTTTTTCCCCTTTGATTTTCTACGTGACTATGATAATACGATATGAATTTTAATTGAACGAGATTTTGTGAAATTTCTTTTTAATAAAATTCTTTATCATTAAATCATATGTAAGATTTGAATGAACAAAACGATCGTTTTGTTAAATGTAATACATTTAAATAATCCATAACATATAAAGAGATACACTTAGTACATGGAATTTGGCTGACACGCGACACACCAATTTCTAGAATTAACGCTAAACCAATCTCGGAAAGTTAGTCCTTAGAGTTAACAAGATCGAACTTGTGATACAAACTTATCTTAACTCCTATTAGCATTTGTCTTTTCGTTAATGAGCTATCCTATATATATATATTTGAAAAATAAAATCGTTCTTATTTAGTATCGCGACCGTTTCATCGCCTCTTACCGCTCCGTTACATAGCCGCCTACCGTTCCGTTACATTTTTTCCAATCACACCCATTCTAAAGAAGTTTTCACTTGAAAAATTATTTTTTAAATATAAAGAGAGAAAGCTGATGATATTACCGTGTTAATTTAAAAAAAAAAAAAAAAAGCAATATCATACGACATGGAATTAAAATTAGAGAAAAAAAAGTTAAAAGAAAAAACTATAATCAGGATATGATTCAATCACATTTACTTTTATTTCCTATTTAATTAGCGTTTAATCAACATTCGTCGAATCGATCGTATCATCGTCAAATGGTTTTATCAAAAGTCGACAAAACAAACAAAGAACGAACTGGATTTCACGTTTGCATGAATAATTCGACAACACGACATGAATATATATATATATATATATATATATATATATTTCTCGTTCACTTTTGTAATTTTCAAATTCGTGCCCGTATAAATCTCTAAATTAAAATTCAAGCGTGGGGCCTTCTCCACATTTCCCCCTAGCCTCCCCCAGCAGCCTCATGCGATCCACTTTTATCTAGCCATTAAATTAAAAGCTTCATATATTTAACGCCGGGTGAACATAATAGAGTGATAAAGCGTATCAATGAATAATTAACGTGGTTGGTAAAAAGGGGTGCGGCTAAATCGATCGGATGGGGATGAAAATTTTAAAAGAGTATATTTAAAAAAAAGCTGGGGACAAAAAAAAATTACCTATTTATGATCGTTAAAAAATATCGTTCGTTAGTAAAAAAAAAAAAAAAAAAAATAAACCAAATTGGATCGTTGATTACAAACCTGATTTCCATTGACCGTCCATGTGATATTAGCTTGAGGATTTCCTGCTGGAACGGTACAATTGCCTCTGACCGTGTCACCTACCGAGTATCTTGTTTTTTCCGTGATCACTTCCGGATTACCTTTAGGAAGATCTACAATTCAAAGAATGTTCATTGTAATGGGGGAGAGTATCGGTAAGCGCATTATCGATTAGAAGAAAAAGCTTTTTCTATACAGTAATGACCTTTTTACATTCTTTGACCATTATTATGTTTCTATTCTTTTCCATTTCTCTTTCTTTCTTTGCTACTTTTCTTTTTCTTTCCATTTCTTTTTACGTTCGTTTCTAGTCTACTAATAAGGTGTTGCGACGAAGTCGCTGGGTCAGGATTATTGTTCGCCAAGTTGAAAAGCAATTCTTATAGAAAAAAATTCGAACGATGCTTTTTACACAACATTTAATGGTCTCGAGCGTGCGACTAAGGAGAAACGTAACGACAACTTTCATGGTTCTCTTCACCTAGATTTTGCTCATAACCAATGTCGAAAGATATTCGATGAAATTTGTGAGAAAAAGTAAAGCAAAGATTGAACCACTGGATTATCATCTTCACCTTGTCAAGTTGAATCAAATTCATCGATATGTCATACAGAAACAAAAATTGAAAATGAAAATCGATTTCACCGATGTATACATATATATCTTAATATATATATATATATATAAAAATTCCATGTCACGTTGTTTGTCCCCAATGAACTCCTAAACTACTGAACCGATTTTAATCAAATTTTGGCACACTGTATGCAGTTTCATCCAAATTGAAAGATAGGATAGTTTATATCTCAATTTATAATAGCAATATTATTTGTTTATTAACAAATAATCATGATTATCCCTGTTAATTCGATACGATTCTAACAGATTGCGGTATAAAATAATTCTTTGACTTAAAGACGTGTGTATCGGACTGATTGTGAGCCACCCTAGTATATATATATATAGTTCGAGACGTTACAAGTTCTTCTCTCTACTCGCAAGGAACGCATACGTGACTAATAAATTATACGCTAACAGATAAAAGAATTGTTATAGTAAGTACTACGGACGGTAGTAAATTCTCTTTATTTCTCTCTTATCTCTTTACCTTTCTCACATTCTTTATCTTCTCTACTACCCTTTTATCCTCGTTTACTTCTTGTTTTTATCAAATCACGAGGTAAAAATATTATACAACTCGAGATGTACTCAAGAACGATCCCTTTAAATTATCCAAGAATTGTTGTTTCGTTTCTCATGCACGATGCGATTTCCGCATCAATCCTTTAACTTTCAAGGCCACGTTTCAAGAAAAGGATATTATCTATCATTTTCAACATGTCCCTGAGCCACGGTATACTATTTTATCAGAACTTTACAAGTAGAAGATGATACAAAAGCACATTCGTATACTAAAGAATAAATGAAGTATAGAATAAAATAAAAAGAGAGAGAGAATAGATTCTTAAGAATCATTCGATCAGGAGGATCGAGCTTTTACGAGCGATTCGTGATCAGAAATAAGAGGCAATCACCTCGGGCCCTTCCTTCAAAGAAGGAATCGCTACTTGTACTTGTTAGATCAACTTGAATAGACGAGAGACGAGAGCTATAGGAACGAACTTTCCGATTCTTTTCTTCTTTTCTTCATTTCTTCTCTTCTCCTTGGCATATTCCGTCTCTTTCTTTCTTCCCTTCATGTTTGTCAACCTTTACTCGCCTAACTGCGTTTTAATTGATCGCGATTACGGTGACAATGCCGCTCACCATGTAGTATAATCAATTGCGGTAATGAAAGGCTCATTTGAAACGAAACCGACGAAAGAAGGTTTTAAAATGAGAATAAAAGAAAGGAGAAAGGGATTCCTTTCGATTATCCTCATAGACTACAACGTAGAAGAATGCCGACGACTCGGCTTAAGAGTTTTAATTGAAGAATTTTTACGATGTCGTTTTCAATGAGTAGAAAGTAAGAAATAACAAAAGAAAAGAATAGGAACGATTGTTTTTTTTTTTTTCGGCAATTCGTCTCTCGAAGTACTTTGGTGAAGAAGAAAAAAGTGGGTTTTGAAGGGTTTTTTTTTTTTTTTTTTGTTTTCTTATATTACAATCTTTTTGATAATTATTCTTTAACACGTTCCCTGCCACGTGTACCACCAGTGGTACACGTAAATATATGTTTATAGTAGATATTGTTTAACTATATACCGATATATTACTTTTGAAAATTATTCTTAAGTTTATTAATGTTATTTCAATGTACTTATATTTTTTTTTTAGTTATATTCGTTATTATCTTATCTTATTATCTTTGTTATGTTTTCTTAGTTTTAAGTATTAGTAATTTAAGTATGTGCCACAGCCTATGTACAGGTAAACTATGTTTACCTCTTGTAGGATTTACTATGTAGTAACTTTTGTTATTATTATTATGTAAAATTTTCTTTTCTGGTATAATAAATAAATAAATAAATAAATAAAAAAATTTCATTCTGTAAAAGAATATTTCTATTAAAATATTGAAGTGCATCATACAAAATGCAGTATAGAACAAAGTACATAAAGTTTGTTTAATTGTTATATTTACAATAATTAATAATTACATGTAATAGTTGATTTTTTGTTAAAGCAAAATTAAATTTGTCTGAATGACAAATCAGGTAAAAGGAGCTTGGCACGGAACGTGTTAATTAGTTAATGTTAAAAAAAAAGTACAAAAATATCAGAGGAAGTCGTACTAAAATGTCAAATTTTTTTCATGATTATTTCTATTTTCATACTTATTTTTCATCTTATGTAAAATATTACCTGGATAATGAGATGATACTCACTTGCTACCTGCATGTAAACATAATCCGACATGGTATTAAATGTTGGAAAATCTTCAGATACCTCGCAACGATATTTTCCTGAATTAATTGGTTGAACATCCTTCAGGGTTACGTATTTGGCGTTGCTCTGATTAGTCTGAAACATAAATGTTTAATTGAGAAATAATAAAATGAAAAGCCTTGAATTAAAAATACATTGTTATTGGTGATAGTCTGATAGGAATGAGACACAATTTTTGATCAAAGAGACAAAGTAACGAATGAAATAACAACGCGAGTGAAAAAGTTAAAGAGAAAGGGGTTGATGGAAGTGTGTGTGTGTGAGAGAGAGAGAGAGAGAGAGAGAGAAAGTAACGTGGGTTGAAATTTTCAGTTAATTTAACAGGAGAGACCGCGGGATTGACCAAGCTAGCACACAGCCGGCAAGTGCCATTTATTGCAAATCGATCGCACTTACTCGTCCGCTTTGACATCCTCGCGGCGTTCGTTCGTCCGCGACAAACAATAGCTCGCAACAACGATTAATTATATGTTGCCGGTGGCAGAGCGCGATATAAATCACACAATCAATTTTCCTCCCGCACTCTCTCATGGCTTGCTCTTGGCACGTACACCAATCGTAAGCCGTTTGAGAGGACCAATCCTCATCCATCCTCTCTCTCTCTCTCTCTCTCTCTATCTATCTCGTTTATATACGTTATGTTCTATTCACTTTTTTACTTATTTCCTATCGAACAGAACCGAAAGTATGTATTCCATGGAGACGATTTAAAGTTGAAAAGCTTTTGCTACTTCTATTGATACGCCATACCATGACGACGAAAGAGAGAGAGAGAGATAGACGACATTTCACCTGATTCCGTTCGAATACGCTTACTACTACTTCTACTATGTTTTACGAACTTTTGACTTTCTCGTTATTTTCGTTTTATCATCGTAAAACTATAAGATAAAGTTTTGTGCCAGCATCGAACGAAACGTTCTAGCAATGTAATATATATATATATATATATATACATACTATTCGTTTAACAAAATAGCACAAATTGATGGTGAATATTTGTCTCTTTAGTTTCACTCTCTGTGTGCTATCTATACGAATGGTACGTACGGGGGAGAGGTGGGTGGGGGGGGTGGGGTTGGCTCATCCAACAAACGCGTATCGCGATTTATCGAATCGTGGGTAAATGGATAGATTCTTTCCATCGGTGAAATCTAATTGGAAAAGCGTTACACGTGTGAAAGAGAAAGAGTAAGTATATATATCGACATACGATGCATACACCGACACACACACGTATACATCATATGGCCAAGCCTATATTTTTCTGTAAAAGGTTTTTTAAACTGTTTTTAACTAGATGTTGGTGTTTTTTTATTATACCGTTATGTTTAAACTTTATTCCCTACGAACGATTGATTTCATTCGATACACGTAAAACTTGACCGATAGATCCGGTGTCATGTCTATTATTAACTGAGTCTCGATGTGTTATCGATTCTTGGATTTTTATGCATTTATTTATTGTAAAATTTGTTCTCTTGTATTGTTTGTTGTTGTTTTTGTTAGTTGAAAATAACGAGCATATGTTACAGTTGCTTTTGCTGAATGAAAATTGTATATCGAAAATATCAAAAGAAAATGAACAGTTTGATCAATCTTCTTTTATATATCCATTATTATATATCTTTTGATTACATTGAAAAGATTTTCTCTTGTTAATATGTTACTCGTACGTCGTCATCATCGTCATCGTCTGTGTCGTTCACGTTACCATTGACGTAGTAAACGTCGTATCGGAACAATCCGATTGAACGGAAGGTAAGAAAATTTTGTACACGAAAATGAAAGATAAAATGAATCCATAATATTTGACGAAAATTCACTGTATAATATTATTCGAAAATTTGTCTTAAATAATTATTATAGTTTATCAACATCTGTCACGTAATTTTCCATTCCATAGTAATTATATTAATTATCCTCAAATCTAGTCCATTTATTGGTTAAAATGTTGGTAATTATAGATACACCTAACCACGAATATGCGATCAATATAATCTATATATATATATATGCTATTATACAACGTAATCTCTTCCCTTTAACTCGTGAATGTTTGAATGTTAGAAAATTCTTACCACAACTTTGGCACCGAGATCTCCAAAAACTTGTATCGGTGGTTCCTCTTTCGGAACGTATTGAAAAAATTCGTGTGCTTTGTTGTACCATTTAACTGCATAAAGAGAGTCCGTTTCCAGATCGTACCTGCAACTCATGTTGACCGTTGTCCCAGCTGCTACTGCAACTGGTATATCGACTGACACATTTGTCAATCCACGAACACCTGAAAATGTCAATGAAAATGAATTTACAGATAAATATGTGTATACAAATTAGAAACGTCGTTTGTTTAATTCGTCTTAAGAAAAAAAAAAACTTGTCAAGTTTTCTTCATAGTCGACACTGATTCGTCTGGTAAAAAAAAAAAAAAAAAAAAAATAAACCAAA